GCAGAACTAAAGGGCGGCAAGGGAGAGAGCAGCTTTAAGTTGCAGGTACCAAACATGCAGGGTGGGAAGGAGCTCAATCCACAGGCAGCTTTCTCTAACCAGATTTGAATCAAAATAGGCTGTTTCGCATCTTATCCTTTGAGCGGGAAGTCGTAAAGTGACACCAGAGTTGCCTGCTTTGCTCCATGGCAATGTGGTTCTGGGCTGCAGTGAAATAAAATTTACTCCCGTGGGGTAAGGGTGGGAAGGAAGCGGGCAGGATGCGGGCAATTACCTAATACTCTGATGAGGAAAGCTTGAGCTATGTCAGAGGGCAGCAGGACCCTTCCTAACCTGCTGTCTGCTAGGCTGTTGCTGAAGGTGCTGGCTGGGAATTTCTTCCCTGCCTCATTCGCAGGACTGAGGTGGGTGAGGAGTGATGTACGAGGGGAGTGGAGGCAGGGGGGCTTCGGAGATGCACTATAGGCTGGAGAATGAGGTGGTGCAAAGTGATCCTTATCTTTACAGTGGCCTTCCTATGCGGTGCCTGGCTGTCCTTGGGGTGCAGAGGGTTAAAAAGCCCACTGTGGCCAGTGGCCAGGTGTGGGGGGCAAGGCCGTGGCCAGCAGCCAGGTGGGGCGGGCAAGGCTATGTGGTGCTCAGGATTAAAGTTCACAGCAGGCAGAGGTTTGGAGAGCTGGAGTCTGTGGCTGCTGTCAGGCAGGGCACTGAAACAGAGCTGTGCTTCCTTTTTACACAGGGGAAATTTGGGCTTACCTGCACACTGGAGGCGGCAGAAAAAAAGAAAAAAAAAAAAAAAGAAAAAAAAAAGCAACAGTGGGGTGAGAAGATTCAGCAGAGACATTGTTCAATTCCTCTCTAACTTCCCCCTAGTGAAGCTATTTGGATGTTGTGCTGTTTCTCCTTGTAGGTTGGTAGCAAGGACATCCCTCCCTGCCAGGTTCTGCAGTGTCCTCCTGGCAGGGCAAGGGGCAAGCCCAGCTTGCCTGGAGGGCGGCAGGCGGTTTAAAACTCTGGCTACGTCCTGGAAGGCAGGGGAGGCGACTGAGCACGTGGTGCTGCGTACGGGGGAAAGGAGGTTGGCTAGAAGAGGCAGAGGTTAAATATGCAGCCCAGGGAACAGCAGGGGAATGCTAAAATGTTTGTCCTGCACTCTGTAAATATAGCAGATATGCCCAGATTTTAAACCCGGTTTAGCAACACTCTTATACACACAGTTTCATGGACAGCTTCTTTCTTTCTGCATCGCCTGCAGGGACGGTAACGTTGACGCTAAGCGGCAAACAGTGGGAGCCGTTCCAGTATCAATAAGGATTTTGACGAGGGAGCAAGTTTGTTTGCTTGGCTGCAAAGGCCTTGGAATCCAGTAAGTGGTACATGGTGACCCCATCTCCCTACCAAACAAGAAAATCTCTCTAACCAAGTCCAGCCCTCCCAATGTGAGACAAGCTTTGCAGAATCTCAAAAATCATGAGAGTGTTTAAGTCTGGAGACTCCCAATTAAAAAAAAAAAAAAAATTAATTGCCTTCTGGTTTTAGCAGTTTATGACCAATCACGTTTCCAAGCTTTTCTCTACCACTGAAAGATGTGGAAATGGATGTTTTTAAAAAGAAAAAGGGAAAAAAACAACAAAAAACCCTACCTCACTGAATCCATGACTCCAAGTGCTTTGAGACTAAATATCGTGAAACTTATGGCATAACTGGGGGAGCTCAAAATTGTGCAAAGCCAGTCTAGTGCTGATACAGTGTCCTCCCTGTAGCCTTACCCAGAGAAAACCAGCTGCTTGCACCGTTACAGAATCACAGAATCACAGAATCGTAAGGGTTGGAAGGGACCTCAGGAGATCATCTAGTCCAACCCCCCTGCTAAAGCAGGCTCACCTAGAGCATGCTACACAGGACTTCATCCAGGCGGGCTTTGAATATCTCCAGAGAAGGAGACTCCACAACCTCCCTGGGCAGCCTGTTCCAGTGCTCTGCCACCCTCAGAGTGAAGAAGTTAGTTAGGGATGACAACGCTAAGCAAGGAGACAGTAAACCTGTGGGATGTTGCAGCTTCAGTTTGCTGTCAGAGAGGAAGCAAGAACAAGTGCTGTGCTCTTCGGTCTTCAGGAGCGGGCACTTTCCAGCCTGCCACTACTCCAGCCGGAGGTAATGCCTCTACCAAGGAACCCCTACTGCCATGGAAAATGCAATTTCTGTAGTTTCCCTGCTGCAGATTCTCCCTCCTCATTTATGCTGACTGCGGCAGTTTTTGCATGCACAGGAGCTGATCTGGTAGCCCCACTTATATCCCTTGATTTTTTCCTACAGCTGATGTGTGGAGGGCCCCTGGTGTGCAGCAGAGCTGGCCCTCCTGGCCCTGCAAAGTTCCTCTTGCCATGGTTGGAGGCAATACCCCTGCTGTTCTGGGTACCCACCCGCCATGTCTCGGGTCTCGTGAGGGAGTCAAAATGCTCATTTGTGGCACCCCACATTCTGAAAGTTTTGGCCTGGTGGCTTCTCCTGAAATGCTTGAGACAAAAATACACATTTCCTGTTTAGAAAGAGAGCGAAGATAAGCCCTAAAGTGCAGCCGCCTGCTCTGGCTACCTCAAGTATAAACAGCCTGCGCAGCTGGGCGCTGCTTTTGTTTGTTCTAGCGGCTTTTTCTCTTTAAAGGTGCATTAGACACAATTATACAAAGTCCATCTACTGGCAGCATCACTCCCAACTGGCACGAGAGGTCTGGGGCTGTCAGCTTCTCAGGAAAGATCCTTCCAAAACCCCCAAGTGTCCAAGCATGTAATTCCCACCTTTGTTCTCAAGGCAACAGCACTAAGCACCGCCAAAGTATGTTTCTACTTTTGCATTTCTCTAACACTTTTCCACCTCAGTGTCCGAGTGCTCTGTAAATAGTCACTCCTAACCTCCCTGTTTGGGGTGCTGAAGATGGGTTTATTTTCTCTGCTTACAGAGAGCGAAAGGTTTGCATCGTGAGTCAGCAGATGGTACGCAATCGAGTTCAGGACTCGCATTTTCAGTAACTTAAGCACAAAATGAGTTTAAAGCTACTTTTGGCCAATCTGGGGCTGTTGTAGCTTCCAGAGTAAATCAGAGCATCCATGAAATCCCTCCGTGCAGCAAGATTAAGGTCTGCAGAGGTGAGGATTGTGCATTCTCTCTGCATAGCTGTCGCAGCACACCCTGCACCCAGAGTAAAGCCAGGAGGGTCTCCTGCTCTCTGGCTCCTTGTTTTATTTGCCACATGTGATGATGCCTAGCCCCTGTCAATATTCTAGCAGATACCACAAGCTCCACTTGGCCGGGTACATGAGATTTAGATAAGACCAGAGCAAATCTATGTCATGATCTAATCAGACGCGAGCAGCTGAGATGACAGTTGACTCTATTTCCCCCTTTTGATAAATTAATCTAGTTTGCAGATGCCTGTGATGGCTGAATCCTGCAATGTTCTGAACCTTCTAGTCCTACTTCAGCAAAACAATTAGGTCCGAGCCCAGGACTGGATCCACTGAAACCAGTAGTATAAACAATGCCAAGCTCTTATTGCCATGTTTAGGTACCAAGTATATGGTCTAAATTTTCAGAGCTGCTGATACCACAGAAGATCCCAGTGGGCCCTTGCCAAAGTGCTTCTGGGAGCTAGGTCTGGGATCCTCAGCAGCTGTCAGCAGGGAGCTCTGCAGCAGGAAAATGTATAGCCTGCTCTGAAATCCTTGGTTAGTTGGTGGATGAGTTGCAGGAACACATAAGGCGGCTCAGGAAATGTCGTCCCACACTTCCATCTTGCTCAGTTGTGGGGAGTTGTCGTCTGGTAGATACAAGATCTGTAAAGCTGTAGTGGAAGGAGGGAGTACCTGGACAGGGAGGAGTGGAAGTTCCACCAGTGCGTGGCTATACTTTCCTTCCCGTGGTGAAACATGCTGCTGCTCCCTCTTGTTTATGAAATGACCATGGAAGGCCTCGGCTCAGGCCCTGCAGGCAGGTGTTGGTGTTTGTTTTGGAAATCGGCACTCCAACGCTGTATAGGTGTGTGAGCTGGTGGGGGGGGAGTGCAGGGGAAAAGCTGCCCTTGCGGCTGTCCCTGCTGTGCCAGGGACCACGAACTTCAAATGTGTGCTTGCTCACAGCTATGCAAGTGCTGTCCCTGATGTGCTGCCACCTTAGTCTCTTCTGTGTATGTCTCTGGCTGTAACTTTCAGTGCTTATTCCTCTATAGGGCAGTAATTTTTGTTCATTTTTTGTTTTCTTCTTTATCTATGCAGGGCTAATAGCTTGCTGGCAGCTTAGAAAAAAAGCATGGCCTTGTCCCAGAGAACTTCACCATCATGAGCGGGAGGCAGCAAATGAAAGCAGTGGCGTTACGGAGAGGAAGGGACAGAAGTTGTGCAAAGAGAAACCACGCAGAAGTGCAGGGCTCCCTCTGCATTCCTCAGACCCGGCATTGGTACAAGACGTGGCAGTTCAGCACGGAGCCAGTCCTGTACGGCAGAAGCTGGGTGAGATAAAGGTGTGCTTTAAGCTAAGTGTGAAAATGCCTTGCTGAAGAGGGAGGAACTAGAGCTGTGCTTACCTGCAGCTAGAAGCCACGGATGCTTTCCACAGAGGGGCAGAGTGGCTGGCTGGGATCTGAAGAGATTATGGCAATAAAGATGCGTCGCACCAACTGGAGCCTTTATCAACAAGTTGCCAAGTGCTTGTCAGGGGGTGTAAATATTGCTATCACTGCTTCACTGAAGGGCAAATGAGAGATGGGAAGACTGAAATAGTTGAGTAGCACCTAACTTTTACAGTGCATCAGTTGAAGGGAAATTTTTCAGGCCATGCGCTAGGAATTTAGGTGAAGCATGAACGAAGTAGTGTTTGGTGTAGCAGAGTATCAGTTGTCCTAATCTGCTCTGTTGTGACTCAGTCTCACCATCCATCAAGCCATAGTTAAACCCACTTTCTGTCTGGGAAATCTAGAAAATGTGAATTGCCTGTTAGCAATGCGCGTTCCCCTGCCTCTGGTCTGGACCACCGCTGCTGAGAGGCACAAACCCTGTCCGTCTCCAGGAGGAATTGGCTCTTTTCTACTGGTACGGAACTGCAAATGTTCATCTATCTCATGACTTTAGAGAGCGACAAGCAAGACTCTCTGTGACCTGCCCTGTCTCCTGTTGTTAGTATAGATGATACGTGGAGCCGCTGTTTTGCTCTCCGACTGGCAAAGCTTTGCAGAACTCCCAGCCTGTTGAAGCAGCGCCAGCGCCCTGTGGCGTTCGCTGAAACGAGCAGAGCCTCCCCTCGGTGGCGGTCCCGAAGCACCCACCACCACAGCCTGCAATTTCTCTTTTAAAACTGGCTGCTTGTGCCTGAACCAAGATCACGCAGTGAGTCAGAGCCGGAGCTGGGAATAGAAGATGGGAAGCTCAAATTCGTGCTGCTCAGGCTGACCACTGAGCCCTGCAATGCCGAGCTCCTCCAGCTCAGCGTAGGCACGGCATTTGGGAATCCACCTAGCGAGAGTCATATGCTCCAGTGCAAAAGAGGAGGGGAAGAAAAAAAAAGCAGCGCTAATAGTTATTTAATTGCTTGTGAACTTCCCTGACTAGAAAACAGGGGCAGTTCTCCCTACCCGTATTTGGACTCTGGCTCTTTACCAGCTTAAGTCATAGCCTAGCTCTTCAGTGGGTTTTGTTGGTGGTTTTTTTTTAATTTAGTGAGTTCCTAGCTGCATCTGGAGCGCCAAAAAAATTTTTGCAGGCAACAGCAGTGTCATTTCTCCTTGTCAGCCGCCCCAGTGAGTGAGTTCTCATCAGTTCTAGGGACAACAAATGCAGGTGCTTCTCTGCTTTTTCCATGTAGGGCGAGTCCTTTCAGCAAACTTTGGGAGGGAACAGCTGCTCACGGTGAAAACAAGACGATCCTGCTGATCCAAGCTGAAATGTGACATGGAAATGGGATTTTTGACCTTGAGAGGTACGAAGTTGCTCAAAGGAGGGACCCCTGTGAAGGTTAAAAATAACTAGAACTTTATAATGCTTCTGCAACTAGTAGAGCTGGACGAATACGTTGCAAAAGAGAGGGCCAAATCTTTAAATAGTACAAACGAGCGCAAGTCTTTTGATGACCTATTAGCTGAAGAACCAGCCCAAGTATTTGCAAACATTAATTTAAGAACAGCTGGTTTTGTCAACTGCATTCTTGTCTCATTTTTCCTATGCTCTGCTCATAAGCGTTCACACACACGCGCACAAAAAAAAGAGATTTGTTGATGCAGATGTTTAAGGAAGGCTGTTCTTTCTAAGGGTTCTCATCTCGAGGGCTGTATGTATGAATAAGAGCATTCATTTTTCCTCAAGTCATGGTTCTGTTCAGCTATAGTCAGGCAAGTTAGAGACCGCTATAACGGCTAGAACGCTCTGTATAAGCATATACATGCTGCCTGTCTCTCCCGCGCACACACACATGCCGTGTGATTTTTAAGCAGTCATCTACCATGAATAATGTCCAGGGGCCAGGTCACAAGCTTCCCATAGCATGGAATGCATTTGCATACAATCCAAGCAATTACAAGTAATGAATAGATTAGTAAACCCAAACAAAACAAGCAACTATTCATACTGTGGGTAATTCTCCAGCAGAAAGAAGG